ATATATATTTTATAAGTTATATTAATATAATTGTTGTATTTGATAATACCTTTTGACTATTCTGTAACTTTTTTGATCTGTGTAGACAATCAATCTTTTTAATTGTCACTTTGAGAAAAGAGTAAGTTTATAATGAATACCAGGCAAATATAGACCTCTGTTTTAAAAGAATAACTAGATAAAATACCAAGATCAAAGTACAAATATTGATAAATGGTTTGACTTCTTACATATTTTGTAAAAAGAACTGACTTTTAACACAAATGTGCTTTTAATATTTATGTATATGATGTGGGTTTTAGTCTTAAAAAAGAAATCTTAATTTTACTGTTTATCTTTCCTGGTTGCAAGGGTGTATAATGGATAAAAAACACTTTGAAAGCAGGGGAAAATCAAAGGACTGATTTGTTTCTGCCCTGCAGGCATGTTTTTCAGAAGGCTAATGAGAAACTCGTGAAGATTCTTTTAGAAGTTGTGAAGACAACTGTGGCCATGGAGGAGACAATTGGTCGCCATGTTCTCGGGTTACTGGATCGGTCTGGGAAAGTCCAGCCTTCCAAACCAGCTGGATGGGACACAGAGACAGAGGAGTTAGTAAAACCCTGTATCCATGTGGGATATGAAAAAGGTACTGCTTGTATGGTTTTCTATTTCATAACAAGTAGTGTTTGCATACTTCTATTATATATTTAAATAACCTTAGTTTTGAAATTTTAATTAAAAATAAACTTTTTTTAAAAAACTATTTGTCATTTGAATGCATATGACATCTCTGCTTAAGAGACAACATTTCAGGAGTTGTCTGGGTCATGCCCCAAACCAGTTATGACTCATATCTAGGGCCCTGTTGTAAATCCTGCAACAGAATGGGAAAGTGATTGAGAAATACAAAAATAAATATGTTCCTGTTGAAGGAGTAAGAGAATGAAACATAGCTTCATGGCATCTTGCACCAACTTTACACCTTCCTCTGTACGTATGGGGAATGGGAACTGGTGTCAAAGGCCATAACTCCACTAGTGCACTTAATGTATGTAGGGACATTGCTGGTCACTCTGGCCAGCTGTCATGGGACAGCTGTATATATGCTTGTAGACTTCTTTAGCCTCTTAAAGAGGGTGTTGCATGCAAACAGCCTTTTGGAAACAGTTCTAGGAACTTTCTAACTGCCCATCAGCTGTTCGGAGGAGTGCTAGTTGGCACAAGCCTAAAGAAGCATTTTAATGTTGTAGTTAATTGCTTACCAGTGTCTTAAGACCTCTCCCAGGCTGTGTTTAATTTCCTGTGATTGTACTAGGATAGTGTCTGTTCATTTCTCTTTTGGGCAAGAGTAAGCGCTCTATCATATTGCTATTTAGCTACCCATGGTACAGAAGCCAGCATAAGGATGTGTACATTCATCCTCTGTCTTATGGGGAGGTAATGTGCAACAGATCAGTTCAGCCTAAAACACATCATACATCTGGTTTTGGCTGGAATTTTAACTACTGTGAATGAGAAAAAGAACTGGAAGTCAAATACTACATTTCATTATTAAGAAAGAATCTACTACAGAGTAATAATACAAATGGTAAATGAAGATGAACTTTACCTCTTTGATGCAAAATGTAGATTATTAAATATTACCGATTCTCTCTGGCTTTAAATGTAGGTCACATTAGGCCTTGGGGCAAGTTAAGAAAGGATGTATGACTTGTAGCACAATGACATCTCTCTCAGTTGATTACTCAAAAGGTTATCTGTGGTGAAATGTGTACAGCTGCAGTCTAAGGATTCTTGAATTTTTCAAGTAAAAAGCACTTTGATGCCTCTATAGTACTGCTGTTTCATTAAAAAACCTCATAACTTTTGTTTTCTGCACATTTTACTGTATTTAATTGTGAGGGAAATTATTTTTTGAAAACTCAGACTTTTGAGGCTTTGCCTTTTTCCCCAAATTTTAGATTGGATAACTAAGCTTCTGGCCTTAATTTTTGATACTTGCCCAGGAGACCTTAAAGATTGAGAACATCTGCTACTGTAACTGAAGGAATCACTTATTTCAAAATGGAGTATTCTTGCACTTTACTTTGGGGTGGGAAATGAATCGAGTTTGCTTATGTTAAAGCAGTTCAGAGCAAGTATCTTCAACCACTGGCGGCTATTTTCCACGCAGTCTCCTAGCCAAATGGTAAAAGGAGCAATGACCGGGCTCAAAGTTTACCACCACCTACTTTTGTATTTTGAGGTAGTCTTAAATTTTATGTAAACTGCATTGTACCTAAGTTTTCTATATTAAATATAAATATTCTTTGTATTCTTTGTGTTCTCATTGTATAGTCTGAGGTGTGTAAAAACTATTGGGGTTTTCAAAACACACGTTGCCCAAAGAAATAAAAACGTGTTCTGGTTATGAAGGCAATGATCACAGGCCGTCAGAGTTATGTGTACTGTGGTGTGACCTAGTGCGTTCATTGAACCTAGTTCATAGTTATATCATGCCTATCGACAGAACACGTGCTGTTGCTTTTCTCCCTCATTCTCATTTACTGAGAATATTGCTGCCTTTTCTCAGACAATAAATACATAACTGTATGTACAAAGCGCTAATACATGATTGTTGCCCTTTGCTACTCTCATACGTGCTTGCTCTGCACAGGCGTGTAAAATGCACAATACATACATTTGCGTGCACAGCAATGTGTATACTTTGTTTTTGTCACTAATTATTGTCATTAACAATTCTTAATACGGATTAATTGCATTACATATATGTAGAAAAATGCAGTTAAGAGAGTAGCTTTATTTGGTATTTTAGGGTGGGTATAATATAGACTTATGCCTAGCTTTCATAATACTACTGTCTAAATGCACAACAGGCCGTGTAATTGGAATGTATTGTTAATTTCTTGTGGAGTCTTCTGGTGAAAGAGTACTCTCTTAAACAGAAGAGAACTGTATTCCGTTCTGCTAGTGGTGAAGGTTGACTGTTTTAACTCTTGTGTTTGCTATTAGTGTATTTTGAAGAGGCGTGTAAGGATTTACTCTTCTGTAACAAAGCAATTTGTCTGTTACTGTAATGCCCCCCTTGGTATAGAGCTGTTCACGTACCAGTTGTTTATTCCAGTATTCTTTTTTGCATGTTTCCTTACATTCAAAAATTATGGAGGAGAAACCAAAGAAAAACAGTGGCTATAATAAGTGAATGTATATTTTGTAATGTATCTCTGAGGTTTTATCCACAGTTCTCTTATTTTCCTTTCAAAATAATACAACAGCATCCTGGCTGTGTACATAGTTCTGCCACTGGGGTCACACAGCCATAGTAGCAGTCATACTGTTCCATCAGCTGAAGTATTTGATCCTTCTTCAAATGGAATTAGATTACAAATTCTGTTAGTGTTTTCAGCAACAGGACTGTTGTTATTCATTTCCTATACTTCCACTGAATGACCTGAGAGGACATAAGCTTTTAAAATTTTTTCCCCATTGTTTTCTGGAAATAAGAAATAGGTAGACACTACTTTTATATTTTAACCTGTGCATGTTACTGTATTTTCTAATACCTAGCCAAACAGATCTTCCTTTTTAATTACTTAGGAAATTTGTAGGAATAAATTTGTACCAATAAAAATCTAATAATAAAATAGAAGAAATAATGTGTTTAATAAAGTGAATTCTCTCTGACCTTCTGAACGTAATACATATTTATTGACATGCAAAACTCAGCTTACTGTTTTTGCTGAGTTTCAGAGTTTTAAAAAGCTGAATCATTAAGGTCACATACTTATAACCACAATCTGATTTCTAGAGCATGTAGAGGTTTATCTGGGACCTTGCCTAGGTTATTGGCCAACACAGGATTTTATTTCTAGCAGAATGAGTAAAGTTCAAATTTCAGTCATAAAACATATCATTGGAAGTGAAGAGCATTTGTGCAAAGTAATCCAGTGAGTTAATTACATCTGGAGATTTGGGCCAGGAGTCATCGTGACAGAGCCAGCAGACTTTGCTGTTGTCTTCCCTCAGGTGTTGTACCTTGGGTAGAGGGACTGCAGTAATGCAGGTTGCTCTGGAGAAGCCTGTGCGGTTGTTGCATTCCTTGAACATTACACCCTCTTGCCTACTTTCTGAGCTCCTTGTTTCCGAACAGTGTACCAGGAACAAAGTAGTAAATAGCTTTATACACTGAACTGCCATAAAACTGATTTTTTTTGTTTTCAACTTGTAGCCCCTAACCTTAATTTCTCAGTGGAATCCCAGGAGTAAACTGAGATCCTAGCTCTACATGATACAAAATATGTATTGCTTCATAAATGACAGTTGGCAGCTCATAAACAACTTCTGTATCTGAAACTTCTGAGGAAGCACTGTATAATTAAGCAGTTTTCTTAAGATTTAGTGGGGCATGACATCTGTTGTGCTGAACTGCAAGCTTCATGGCAAGGAAACAATATGAAACTTTGTTGGGTTTTTTTTTGGTTACAAGGAGAGAGTTTACACGAGGAGAAGACATTTTTACTTGGGCCAGTTGTATTCTATTTATTAATTTGTGTTGGCTGAAAAAAAAATTGGGGGACAGAGAATTTGGTTTTAGTTCTGTTGGGGTGGGAGATTAAACGGCATTATAAGGATTAGTAAAATGGGGGTTAGGCATTCAACTGCCAGGGCGGTTAATAAGACTTGACAACATTTCTATTTCTACCACTGAAAACCTTCTGGAAAGATGCTCTACTAGATGCTGTGTACTAAGACCATTTTCAGGGGAAAAAGATTTGGAGGTTTTCACTTTGCAGTTAGGAAGACATTTAACGTGAACTCCTGTTCATAAGTGCCACTTTGTAGAAATTATAATATGGGCATCTACATTTATCATTTGCCATTGATTTTTCTATTTGAGTTGCCAACCTCACAGTATAAACAAAATTATTACAGGTTTTGTGTGCATTTGATACTTTTTGTTTTTCCTTTCTTATCTTTGAGAGTAGTAAAGTTTCCATGTGCCAAATTACACTTTAGGTGACAGCTCTCTTTTTCTTTCCTCATTTTTTAATAGTTATATTTCAGGTAAATTATGATGTTTTGTTCTGAGATTTTTCATATTACAAAATTGTATCTTAACATTGGTTTATTTTGTATTTATCCAGAAGAAATGGAAGCAATTACAAAAGAACTGATATAAGCAAAACAGGAGTTTAAAATCTTGTCATTAGTTCTTAGAGGCCAAATCGTACTGTTCTGGTCACTGGCAAGAAGTAGTAATAATATTAGTGATACTATTAATGTAAGAGACATATTCCGGACCTGGCTTTTAAAAGGTTACATTCTGAGCAGGCAGTTTTTAAGTTTTTCTCTAAAAGTTTTCAAACAGCCAGAAGTTCAGATGATTTTGCAACAGACTGCACATTTCTGCAGTTATTTTGTATAATGTTTATTTTTGTATTTGACATACACTTATCATTGCACAATTCAGCTGTACCTCTCAAGCAAATAATTTACTAAGATATAAGGGTTATAGGACATGAATTATGGGTTAAGCCTGAGAAGGAAAACAGGAACATTACATAGATAGTTTGTACTCCATCAAGAAAGAATTAGATTGTGCAATAACTAATATGTCATTGTTTTATCTTGTTTATAGCTGTGCTACTGTACTGTGGGCTTTTATTTTGTGAAATCTCTGAAGCTAAGCAGGGTCTTACCTGGTCAGTACTTAAGATGGGTGGCCTCCAAAGAGCATCAGGTGCTGCAGTAAGTGTATCGGTGGCTCAGTAGGGAATATGTTCCTTCAACTTAGTCTTTAACCAATACTTTGGCACAGCATTTGGAAATACTTAAGCTGCTGGATGTCCATCTTAAATGAAGGTCCTTTCTACTCTAAGGATATTAAAGCTTCTGCATCAGTATTGATATTTTGAGACACCCAGACAACCCAAATTTGGATGGTGAGAAATCAGAATGCTATTGAATAAAAAACGTGAAATTGTTCATCTTGCAGCCTTCCTTACACTGCAGGGGGGTGGAATATTAGGATGTTATGGGAAAGCCTTTATGCTATACAAACCCATTGCAAATATTTAGTGTGCTGGCAGAAGATGACTGCCAGCCACTGCTAGGGTGACTCCGCTACTGAAGTTCTGAAGTAGTTTGTGCCTGAAGTTCCAAAGTGCAGTACTCGAAATTGCTTTGAAATCCTGTGTAGATGAAAGGTGCCATGTGTATGTATATTCTATTCATCTGGTTATTTGTTCCATTCATGCATATAGTGTGCTTCTGGTTTTTCCCTTTGGACCATGAAAAGAGTTGTAACATTATATCCCACATGTCTAAAAGGAGATATGAAACAGTAATGATATAATGAGAAGAAAAAAAATTACTAACTACATGCATGTAAAAATTAACAATTATAAGATAAAAGTTAACAAAACAAAACCTTTCTAAATTAAAATCGCTGTAGATTAGTTTGTTGTATATGGGTGATATATACAGCGGCATCCATAATTAAATAAATGCGTAGATATTATTATCAGAATGTTTGCAGGTATAAAAGTATAGTAAGTAAACCAGGTGGTTAATCATGTTGCAACTTGTTTAAAAAAAAAAAAAACAAACCTGAAAACTAGAATCTGACTTTCTTGCTAGGTTCAAACAACATCAACAAGAGGACTCGTATTTCCAATGTTACTTGCATGCCTGGTTAAGAGGCCAGAGCAAGTATAAGGAAATTGTATCCAACAGGAGTACTAACTGCATTTTTAAAGGCAATTTGTAAAACTGACCTATTATTATTTCATTTCAATTTCTGTAACTAAACAAACTGTTCCAGTTCAGCAGTCACAATTCATGGAGTAACCAGGAACTTAAAATCAAAGATAACCCAGTGTTGCAACTTTATTGCTAAACTGGCATTGACTATTCTTAACTTTAGTCATGCTGCTGTTTCTCAAAAAAAAGATATTTTTTGAGAAAACCTTAAGCAAAAACAACATCTAATTGTTTAAAAAAGAAAAAAAAAACATGCCAAAACATGTAATTTATTTTATTTTAAATATACTTCATTAAAATAAGCTGTCATTTTAAAAAACTTTCCACAATAGCATTTATTTCTGACATTTCAAATCTAACAGCCTAATGACATGACAGTTCTTCATTTTTAAAACACGATATGAAGAATAGTTATCTACCGTCATGATGTACTACTGTGTTGTTATTTCATACTGAAAGTGTGATTTAAAAACATCTCAGGAGTTTGCTTTCACTTGTCTTGCTTAAATACAGCCCTGAATTCTAAATATGGTAAATTTACTGTTTTCTAGATGAATTGCTATCAGTTTAATACCATAGGCAAACTTTGTGTCTCCTGCTTTTCAGACAGAATGGATAATGCCCTTAAACTGAATCAGACCTCAGGAAGATCAAGAAGTAGGTGCCAGGTGGCCCATCAGTGGGGACAGTTACAGTCACCCTGCACTGTACTTGATTTGTTCAGCTACCCATTTTAATCAATTTTCAGTTCACTAATAATAATGCTGAATTTTCATGTTCTGTATTCTAGTCTGTTTGTCCTGAGAAGTTGTCTGAATTACGTACGTGTCTTTCCCTTTACTCACTTGAGTCTCTGCTTTTGAATCACTGACTTGAACAGTTTTGTGTTAGTGCGCACTAATGTAGCTGGGCACTGGTGAAACAGGGACTGACAGTCTGGGGTTTTTTTACCTGGTTGTATTTCAGAGACAATCTTGCAAGTCATTACTGCAAGTTATTCAAAGTAGAAACTGATAGTAACAAAGGTTTGAAGGTGAGCCTCAGACCCCAAAAGCATACTGAAAGAACGTCTAAAATCTACTCTGTTAGTATCTCCTTTTTTCCCTTCTGCTTGTTTTTAGTTAACACATTGTGTACCTCGTTTGTGTAAGTTTTAGTATGCAATATTTCCCTTTCTGTCTTTGTGACCAGTACAAATATTTTAATAGTTTTATGACTTTTCTTTCTAATCATAACACTTTTTCATGTTTTGAAGTGCTAGGAGTCTGTGTGAAAAGGTAACTATTGTTTTTCCAGAGTCCTGTTCCTCATATCATGGTACTAGTATGGGAGATGATGACATTAACATGTGGTCAGGAGCAGCGGATGAAGGACTACTGAGCCAACATTTTGCAGAAAGTGGAGTGGAAATAGATCCTGAAAATGAAGAACTCGTTCTGAATATTAGTTCTCGACTACAAGCGGCTGTTGAAAAGCTTCTGGAAGCCATCAATGAAACTTCAAATCAGGTAGGGTGTTCTAATAGTGAAGCATTTTGAATTTTGTCTCTCTATTTTTTTTTCTTTATTTTTCTCATGAATGTGTTTTTATAAGCCTAAAACCTGTAGGCTCATTTTGCAAGCCGAAACAATACTTCAGGTGCCTACGCCCAAAAAAGTCTGCTCCAGCATGACTTTACTGATGAATTTCAATTCATGTTAGAAATCTGCTTTGGACTGCAGAGGAAGCCTGAATTTGGGCGTGTTTATCAAGCTAGGGCGCTCTTTCGTTGCTTATACAGATCATCTGCATTCTACTGCAATCCAGAGATGAGACAGGAGGTGTCAGGGCACATTGAGCTGGCCCTTGTGAAGAGGGAGGATTAAGGGGAACTGTGCCCAGTTCTCTTGACATTTTAGTCAATTGACTGGCCAAAAAGGTGGGGCTCCCCTGCTGTCTTTTCCAACTATGATTTAAACACGGCCAGGTAAGCACATATCCACCTTGCTATTAGAAAAGGATAGCTGTACGCCAGCTCTCCAGTATTTATGTGAGGTATGTGATTCATGAATAGTCTCCAAAAAAGGGCAGTGTATGGGTTCTCCTTTCTGTCTGCTGTCAGGGTAGCTCTCTGGAGTACTTCCCTGGTAATTGAAATGGGAGCTACATACCTAGCTCAGTCAGTTCAAGTCGCACTGCTTGTGTCATGTGCTTTACTTTTAGATTGTGTACATCGCAATTTGAAGGTATCAGAGTAAATACTCTGTATCTCACTGTAACTTTTTAAGCTCTCTTGAAGAACTCAGTCTTTAAAGTCAGCTCTTTAATCTATTTGAGACTAGAATTCAAAGGATACAGTGTGTTTTATGCTACAGACCCATCTATTAGTTAACCTGGTAATGATATTACTTAACAAGTCATTGCTTTCTTGTCTCTAGGTATAAAATGTGTAAACCATAACTACTAGAAATGAAGGAGAAAAAAATCTGTGATGATGAAAGTAATATGAAAATTCAGCTGATACTTTAAAAGTTTTAGGCATTTAAGTATTTGTTGCTTTTGAAAAATACTTCAGAAATGAAGTTGATGCTCATTTCTTCTTTTTAAAAAAAGAAAAAGATAACAGACTAATTTGTGACTCACTAAGGTTAAAAGTAATTTAAATACAAATTCAGTGAACCCCCCTTTGGCTTACTAAAGCAAGTAGTCTGGTGGACCTTGTAAATCAGTTTTTGCATTGCGTTTATTTGCAAACTCACGCTGCAACAGCTCTCTTCTGTTTGAGCATGAGTTCAATTAAAAAGAGATGTTTGGCTTTTTGAGGTCTTTTTTCAGCTTAAGGTCTAGCATTACATAATAACGAAAAAGGATACACAGATACTCCAATATATGGCGTTCTTAAAGAAAAATATAGTTAGGCATTTGTAGATCTTGCACTTAAAGAGCAGATAATACAAAGAAAAACAACTTCAAAGTTTTACACTAATTAAGAATTCATGCTGCGATTATAAGAGTATTGTCAATTATTTATTCCACTTGGTGCTTCTTTTTTCTGAACATTTCACTGCTGATCTTTAAATGCAGTAGTTTTATACATAGCCCTAAATTATTTTACTTTAGTGACTGATATTTTTGCAGTAAGTATTTATTTTTCATGATACCAGTGAAAGTACTCAGTGTATTCTAAGCAGCTTATTTTTATTTATTGTCAGTTGATCAAGAAAGTTTATTTTCCCTTCGTAGCTTTGTAGCTGAGACCTTGCCAATACCAGCAAGAGAGTTATGTTTGGCTCAAACACATACACACACATTTTTTTCATTAATATGGATTATACAAATATGGATTTATCCCTGATGATCATATCTGTGGGGTTTTTTTAGTTAATAAAATGTTCATCTGTTTACACATTTTCCCACAGTATTAAGTATAAATATTGACATCTTTCCTGGCTGTTCTGTAGAGGTACTTTTCAAGTGTTCAAGGTTTCTGCTTTGCAATGTCTGTTGTGTGCTTACTGGATTATATACAGTTCCTGTACATACCAAGGGATTGTAGGTGACTTGACAATTATTTTTAAGTATTCAGAAACTGAATACTTTATTTTTTCTACTCTGCAATATTTTATAATCTGAAACTAATTACAGGCAGAAAAGATTTTAACCTTTCCTCTTAATCAGCTGTGCATACAGACATGTACCCATCTCTTAAAATAAACTTAAAAGAGTGAGAGAAACCTGGCAAAATCTTCAAAGTAACTATTTGAGACCTGTCTGAACACACACTTTCAGACCTAAAGTGCAGTTTGAATCTTCTCAGGCAAGGCATATAGTGGGTGTATTAATTCAAATTCCACCTGCTGGTGTTATGTATAGGTAAATAAATAAGGCCACTCCCCTGAACTCTTTCGGTTGGGAGATACTAACAGGAAGCCTTTAAACTAGCAGAGTTTGAGAAAGTTCTTCCTGTTGAATTAACTCCAAGAACAAGAATGAAGGCAAATAATGACATATCTGTATTTCTCTTTCATTTGCTGTAGTGGAGATGGAAAATCATTTTTAGTTTCTGTTCTGCTAGCTTGCTTGTCTGCTGCAGCATACCTGTGCAGGTAAAACAAAATTATGCTTCCTTGCCTTGGAAATTACCTGCCAGCTGCTATTGGAAGATTTCTGTTGCTTTTTCATGTGAAACTTTTCCAAGAAGGATTTTTAGGAGTGACCATACGAAGTTTTCTTTCACTTCTCTCTATTTTGGATTAATCCACTCCTGAATTACTCTGCTTGATTTCTGCTGATTCTGAGTAGGTTTGTCACTGACAGTGCTGATATGTGTCTTCAGACTGTTAGATGTGCATGTTCTGTTACAAGTTCCTGTTAGAAATTTTTAAAACCAGCCTAGTTAGTGCAAAATACCCATGTGACGGTTGAGAAGACAGCAACCACGATTTTTTTTTTTGGAATGGATTCTTACCGCACCTACTGGGCATCTAATCTGTTTAGGGATTTGTGGACTGAAGGCCAAGAAGAAGATACATACGAGGTTGAATCCCGTGTGCCTTTACCATATCCTTTTCCTTTCACTGAACACTTGGACGAGAATAATTCTGTAGTTGTAAATACTTCAATTTTTCACTTCAGCCACAAAAAAAACGGGCACATTTTAAAAGTTGTCTCTAAAATCTCCTTGCCTACACCTCCCTATTCAGTAAGTATAAAAGTTTTTAAAAGAAATTATATTTTAAACCAGCTTAAATAGAAAAGAATGCAGTGAAAAATGATATAAATTTGTCTCTATTGTTAAAGTTATTATGTACTGCTGACAGGCTTTTTCCTAGACAGTTTTTAAGGGGCATTGAAAAAGCTTTAATTATACAATTCTCTCTGTTCATTTCTAACAAAAGAAATTTAGCAAACACAGAATTACAGAGATTTAAGATCTCTTTTTAAAGCACTTTAATGTTACTTATTACATTACATTTTTCTCACTGTGAATAATTTATGGGGGGGCCCTGCAGTCAGTTAAAATTCTTCCTTTATAGCTTTCATGCACTGACTAGTAACATTAAGTAGCACAAGCTTGCTAATGACTTCCAGTGATCCCATGAAGAAATTTTTGTTCTTGAAAAATTATGTTCATGTTTGTGCTTCTTTTTGGTTTTGCCCTGTGATATTTTTAATAATACCTTGAGTTGTTATTACTGAAAAGAGCTGGAAAATAATTTTTATTCTGAGTTTTAGCTGGAGTATTTGATGCATTTGAGTAAGCCATTTTTATGGTTTCTATGTACAGTAAACCTATCATATGTGTCCCTTTTATCTGAGATGGGTCTTTCATTAAGCCCTTCAAAATGTAAGAATACTCTGTGATTTTTAAAATATCTCAAGCCAGTGCAGATATTCAGCTGCAGTATTTATACCTTTCTTTAACTCCTGTCAGAATAAATAGTTCATGTTAAAGGTGTCCATCTAAAAAGGAATGCTGTAGAAAAGAAATCAAGTATTTAAATTCAGTATATTATAAAAGAGAATGTATTGATTATTCAGACATTCTTTTCAAAGTGTAATTTTATTTTGTAAGTGGATAATCTTGTGTGCAATGTTCTATGAAATGTTCCTAACCCATTTTTCTGAGATTTTAAAGCAAGCTAATCATACTTACAAACTTAGGTAGCGATGGTGAGAAAGCTTTTGTTTTTAAAGAAATTGAGAGAAAGAATGTTTATAGAAACTGTAGCAAAGCCACAGATGTTACTATCTTACAAAGATCTGCCAATATCCATAATGTTAAACAGGAAAAGAAAAAAAAGAAGGGAGAGGAGCAGGAAATATGTGTCATTTCATTTTCTGACGTTGTTCTTATTCAAAATAAGTTGTCTTATTTTGAATACAAGCCACACAAAGAACTCATGCGTGGTTCAGCTCTGCAATTTGTATTTGTGTTCCTCGAAGAGGTGGATGTAGGCTTTAAATGTTAACAGTTAGAAAGTAGAAATCTTGGTAATTGACTCCAGTTTGCTGTTATCTTAGATGAACATTTTGTGTAACCAAAACTTCTAACATTATTGTTGTTCCTTCTTTACTATTTTGCTTTTGTAATTCTAATTTTAATTCTCTTTGAAATCATCACTTTGGGTGTGTCTAAACTGGGCAGTAAGTATACAGTTTTATGCATTTCAGTCCTGGTTTTCCAGTAGTTTATGTTAGTGACGTAGTGAGATTGCACTACATCTGTGGTAGTACACATTAAATATTAACCCATCAGACAAGCAGAGAAGAATAAAAAAATCCTTAATAATTCTGTTAGGTGGACACGGTTGGAAGAAGCATTGCTTTACTGCCTTGTTGGTTAAAAAGTGCGGTATATTCAAAATTCACGTTTTCCTGGTGTTCTCATTTATCTTCATCTCGAGGAGAAAAAGAAATGAAGCACCACTTGTGTCGATTTATATCAAAGCTTCTGCTGGTTTTATGCAATGTTTTTTAGCCATTCTAAGTATATGGTGGGTGATAGCTTACTCATATTTAGTACAAAACTCATATGTAAATAAAGGTGAATCTAGTGTAAACTAATAAACCAGGAATTACCGGAACAAAGGCATGGATTTAGCCAGGTGGCTCATTGAATTCACTATACTAACAAAGCCTATTAGCTTAGACTTTTGTACTGAGTCAATCTTCCTATTGTAGTCTGCAAATGTGCGTTCGGTAAAGATCTTATTGAATGTCCAGTGAAGTTATGTGAGACTTCTCATCACGCTGTAAAGCAACTGCTAATTAAATAGGAATGATAGAATAGTTATTTATCAGAAAACCTTTTGTTTATCTAACTTCTGTAATTTTTTCCTGTGGTAGCTTGAACATGCTAAAATTACTCAGACAGAACTCATGCGAGAGTCCTTCAAAAAGCAACAAGAGGCCACAGAATTTATGAAGTATCAGGAAGAACTACAGGAACATCTTAATGAAGAAACCAAAGCCAGAGAGCAGTTGGCTTTGGAGCTTAGTAAGGCTGAAGGTGAGTAGCTTTTTTGATGAGTTGTTGAACTTTGCACTCCCTTACCTATTAATTGGGTAAAGAAATTGCAAGTTAGATCAATTTCTTTGCAAATTTTAGAATGTTATCAGCCTTCTGGATGGTTATGGACAAGATGACCTCCAGAGGTCTCTTCCAACATCAATTACTCTGTGATTCTGTTTCCCAACTTCGTCTCACTTGTTGTCTGGCTTATTAAAAATAATAGGTTGGATATGTGTTATTATCCTCAAAATTAATTTATTTCATCACAACATGTCTGTTTGTGCAGACAAGCTTAAATATTAGCAACTTAGAATCGTAGAATGTGCAGACAAGCTTAAATATTAGCAACTTAGAATCATAGAATCATAAATAGTTGAGGCTGGAAGGCACCTCTGGAGATCATCTATTCCAACCCCCTGCTCAAAAAAGGGTCAGGTTTCCCAGGACTGTGTCCAGTCAAGTTTTGAATGTCCACAACCTCTCTGGGCAGCCTGTTCCAGCATGTGACCACTGTCAAAGAGGGAAAAGAAGAAAAAAAAACCTTTTTTTTTTTTTGTATGTTGAAATGCAGTTTCCCATATTTCAGTTTGTGCCTGCTGCCTCTTGACCTTGACTTAGTTCTACGCAAGCATGAATAAAAATGTAGAATCTTCACTCTGAATTTGATGATTATGGTGGTGATATGTTTCAATTTGCACTCTGTTTGAAGTGGTCTTTTGAAGTGTATTTGCAACTGCATTAAGGAAGCAATTAAAAATTGTAGGGTGTTACAACAGGGTAAATCTAATAATCTTTTCTGACATCAGCAAAATATGTTCAAATCTGACAGACACTTAGTTTGTTCTTTAGAAGTAGCTTTATGGTTTCGATAGCTGAATGTTTTGTTTCCACCCAGCATTTTTTACAGCATTTTTATCTGTTTGTAATTAGCATCTGGAAGAGATGCAAAAAACACCTACCCTTATAGGTAGGATCTCTGTAGTAGTAAGCAGAAAGGTATTTTAGTTAGTTCTGAAGCTCAGCAGGCTTCACTGTTTCAAAGTGGGAACATAGAGTAAAGTTTCAGTGCCAAATGTTATTCCTGGAGAATGCTACCCTGCCAGCCTTCCTCTTCTTTTTACATAGACAGATAATCCAACATGAGTTCACACACTATTAATAGCTGGGACACACATAACCTGAAAAGAAGTGCAGGTTTCTAAGCCATGTGTCTAAAATGTGGCGCAAGGGACAGTTGGTAGCCTGTCAGTTCACACACCATAAACGTTGTGTGTCATCAGCACCAGTACTGGCTGCAGCATTTCAATAACTTTAGCAAAACTAGAAAGGAGGAAAATTGATTTCAGAGGGAATAGCTTCAAATCTGAAAGAGACATTATTACTTTTTTTTAATATTGAATTAAGAGTGAAAAAAATCTTGTATGGAACACGTCTTAACATGCAAAAAAGATCAAATCTTCCACCAAAATATAGATGACCTAAGAATTTATATTCTTGCACAGATGCAGTTACAAAACTGTTTAGTGTTGATGAATTTCAGAACATAGGCAGCTTTTATGTCTGTTGCTGCTTTCCTTGGAGGATAATATTTTTGTGTTGATAGAATTTTTATTCACAAATCTTCAATAATAAAGTACAATAGACTAATACATTAGGACAAAGCAGAGAGGTTAGTGATAAGTTTTACTTAAAGGTAAGAATCTGTCACAATGTCAGAGCTGTCTGCATAGGTTTAATCCTACAAGTAGCATTTAAAAAATAATAATGAAGACTAATTTTATTTATTAAAAAAAAGCTTTTATTATGAACTTATGTCTGTTGCTTTGCCTTCTGGGTCTGTATATTTTGACTTGGTCAGGTTCTCCACTAAGAACTACGAGCTTGCCTTTTCATTTACATTAAATACATTTCCATTTGTGCAGGACTCTACTGCAAAGAGTGCATGCATAATTGTATTTGAAGATGACATCACACAGAATGAGACCTGCTTATTATCCGTTTTTTATTTGCATATTTTTATTACTATTTTAATCCTATTACCACCAGACAAGCAAAAAATCTAAAATTAACTAGGTTCTTCTCTTGAGCAATGCACTTCTGTTATAAAATTTGCTTGTGCAAACAAACTAATAGCAGCAAATAAACTGCAAACTCTTGCTAGATGCCAGTTTGTAGATAATGGGATTACCCATATGTAAATGAAGGCAAAATTTACCTGTAAAATTTAATTAAATGCTTGAAATACTTCATCAGAGCCTGGCTTGGAGATATAACAAGTGAGTCAAGTATGTATTTTTTGCTAGCAAAGAAAGTACATTAAACACAAAAATCTAGTGAGAGCTATGAAGCTATGTTTTGCACTCTCCAGATTTTATTTGGTAATGTTTTATTTGGAAAAAAAAAACTTGGAAGCATATAAAGTGGAAATGATCTTCAAAAATTTTTAACTGGAATTTAATTTTGATCAGAGCAATAGCAATGTCAGTTTATAAGACTTGACAGACTGGCTATGTTGATTTGGTTCATGAACAGTTCTGGAATATGAGAGACAGAATTTGATGTTAGTTTTAGCCCTTGATAGATATATTGCACAGTTGAGCTTTTAAGTTAGGTGCAGATTTATGTCACATGTAGAGATTTAATTCAGTCCAGTCTTTTGCAGGAATTCAGCTAATTTGCCCCTCTTATTGCTTTAATGCTTTATAACTCCTGAATCAATTAAATCTTTTTTCATCCTCTTTTTCTGTGAACTTCTGAAATTAATGCACTTCTAAATGACAGGCACGTTTTTTTTTTTGGTGTTGATATAACGAAACAAAAATTCCATAGGACTCTTTTATTTAATTTCTTCTGCTCATTGAACTGAGTTGTGAGCATATTCTGACAAAGCCAAACTACATTCTGTTATCAAATTCCTTAGATAGGTATGCAGAACAATGTCTTAGTTCATTATACATCTGATGGTACTCTGTCTTCTCTTGAGATAAAATGTGTCATTTTTGATCATTTGTTTCTTATCACAAAAACTGCTGCGGCTGAGACATTTTCAAACCTCTAGTGTTTTAGTGGTGTTGGATATGACTTATCTAATGTGATAGAAAAGCTAATGCCAATTTGCTCACTGAACTCTGACAACTTTCATTACATCTTTTAAAAAAAAAAAAAAAAGAAAGAGAAAAAAAAGGCAGGAGTAAATACTGTAACACGTGATCTTAGCAAACCTCTTCATTGTTCATACCTTTTTGGTGGGAGTGTGCACTCCATTTAATCTGGGAATGCCCTCTCAACTTCCAATAGGTTAAGTACTCATTAACAGCATCTGATACGGTGGGAATTACTATGAAAATTTGTATTGTCTCAAATTTTTGAAATGCTGTTAATGATGTTTCTAGTTCAGTATTTTTTGTTTCAACAGTCAGTCCCTCTATGAGGCTGTGTTCTCTGTGAGTCCAAGTCTGGGAAAAAAGATTGGTCAGCAGTACATGATTGATATGCATGAAGACCAGACCTGTGTTTCTCAGACTGTATATGCAAAGACCACTGTTACTTAGTTTCCTTCATGTTAGCTTTCCTCTGATATGGAACTAAATGCTCACAGAGGTTTTACTTTTTCTACATTGATAACAAATGGAAACATCTTCAGTTTTCCTATATTCTCAAGCCAGGGTAAAATCCACTTTAAAACTGATTCAAGACTATAGATTTATACTGATGAAGTACTTTCATATTGAAAATAGTTTGATATTAAAAAAATATTACTTAGATCCTGTGGGTTTAGTAAGAAGAAACCTATGAGATAGGTCTGTGTGTCCAACTGAGAAAGTTTAGACATCATATGACTGATGTCTTGTCTGTCTTTTGGAACCATCGGTATCGGACATGACAGAACACACCTTACCTGATGTGAAATCTGGGATACCTATTTAGAACCTTCTGTCACTCAGTAAATATGTCTTTTGTGGTTAGATGCTTCTGAAAGGACTGATGTGAATCTTCTGAAGCCGCTACTATTACAGGATCTCAGTTGAGTTTGCATAGCTTTCAAGGAAATTAGCTGTTTTTTCCTAAGTCTTTAGCTTTGTGCTCACTTCTGCATCATTCCAAGATGGTGACATTTCTTACAGCTGTAATATCATTCATAAAGCTAAAATAGAGCTTCTCCTCAGATTCCTAGATAAGCTACTTCACTATGAAGCAACTTTTAAAAGCATACAAGACATATCCTCAACGTAGTGTCCAAAATTCTCTGTTAAAAAGATCACTAATTTTTCTGTGTTACTTTAAAAATCGCACATTAATAGTAAAGAAATGAAACTGTTTCTTAGATGTCAGCTGTTACAGGGCTTTTGAGAGTGCTAAACATGGACACCTACAGCAAGTTTTGGTGCCTTATGATGTTGGAGGCATCAATATTATACGTGACCTACAAGACACCCATGATCTTACAGAAACTGTGGTTTGAGGTCAGGCAAATGTCTTGAGGCACCTAAAATGGCACCTGGCACCTGAATTTATTTGAAATGTCTTATTTCTCCTGTGTTTATTACACATTTATTTTTCCTTGGCTTTGGAGTTCCTGTTTGCTCCAGAGGTCTTGCACTGAGAAAAAATTAAGAGCTGTATTTGGTCTTGTGCTATCCTTCCTGTAATTTGTTCATCATGGAAGAATAGCAAGGATGGGAGTAGAAGTTGTCAGGTGCTGAGTATCTAACATGCGTGTGCATTCATGTGAGAATACCATAGTGACTTCACCATGCAAAAAATTCAAATAGTTCTTTATTGTTTATTAAATCTGCCTGAAAATTGATGTTCTACAGGCCTCATTGATGGTTATGCAGATGAAAAAGCATTTCTGGAAAAACAACTTCAGGAAAAAATAGATGTAATTGACCATCTTGAGCAAGAACTACTGTGTACAGGTAACAAATTGCAGGAGTTAGAGGCTGAACAGCAGCAGATCCAGGAAGAAAAGGAGTTACTCTCCAGACAGAAGGATGCCATGAGAGCAGAGGCGGGGCCAGTAGAGCAGCGTACGTATTCCTCACAATCTTTCTATGAGATTTTCTTATACTTTCAAATAAAATAATAAGTAATCTTGATGAAGGTTCCCCCCCTCCCCTCTTTGTAATCATTAATAAAAACCTGCTAGGGCAAAATGTGATATTTTCATACCTGATGCCTAATGTTAGCATGATAAGTTTTCTTGATATTTAAACAAAAAAGGACTGAATTTTCAGAAGTGTTAAGCAATCACAATTGTTCTTTAAGCCAGCAGAAGCTTGATACCTCTGAAAATCTGCTTTTATTTGTGTTATCACTGGAGATGGAATATCTTGAAGTTAGCACCTATGGGTAAAAATACTGGTCTAAATGCTTTCCAAATGGAGTTTTAGAGGGTCTAGCAAGCATACCTACCAGAACACAACTGAACTACACATGATGACCATACTTATTTTAGACACAGAAGATATACTTTTCTAAAAAATTCCTCTTTTGGGGAAGAATGGCACAAAAGTTGCAGGATAAGGAAAGCCTGTTATCTAACAGTAATGAAAATTTTCAGCACTGATGGTGAAAATTCCATGTCAATGTAATCTAACTAACTGCTTACTCAAAAAAAGCATCTACCTTTATGAAGTAAATGTGTCTTTTAATTCTTCCTTAAACTAATAACTTAAATTAATATTTTATGGTTGAGGGAGGAAGAGAACAGTGCTGATCTTTCAAGGATTGCAGTGCTTACATTGTAAACAGCAGGATGAAATTACCATTTCATTTAATTTCTAAAAGTTTATAGCAATTTATAATGTTACTATTTTTATAAATTACACATCTTGGTGTGTATTTGCAATTTCCTATGTCCACTTTGTGTAACAAGGAAATTTTAAGAACAACCTGTTGCTTCCTACTTTACAGTAAAGAAGATTCTTGTCTGTGACTCCAGTTTAGTTATTTGTTATATGTTTTAGGTTTCTAAATATTTTAAAGTTATTTTCATGTATAACAACTGTAAGGATAAACAATTCTATAAATATGTGTAGGTACTTATATCATGCATACCAGAATAACTTACTACATTACCTAAGTTATCTCAACAACTTTGTCATTAAATGCCACATCTATCTTTGGCTTCATTTTCTCTTACATTGTTGCACCACAAGAAAACTATAGCTGGCATGTGAATTACTTTGCTTCTTTTTTTGTGTTTTTTCTCTCTCTATTCTCCTAGGCCTAGTAGATGCTGCAGTCGATGCAGCTTCCCAAGCAGGTGTGTTTGTATGTTGCATGGCCAATCTGTAATTGGGTGGAAGACTTACACGTACTGACATTGTTAATCAGGATTATTGGGCTTTTGGCTTACTGACGTTACTTGTAATTCTAACTGGCCTGCAGCTTTGATGTTGTATTTCATACTCAGTTTTACATTTCGCTAACAACATTTCTTATAATTTCTAAGCATAATAAGCAAATTCATGAATAACCATCATCTTATTCACCTATGAATTACAGATACTTAGATGGCATTGGAGGGATATTTTTGTAGCCTTTTTTTTTTTTTTCTTTTGATTTCCAAGTACGGTTGGGTCATTCATTATGATAACTAAACACTGTATTATATTGATATGTAATGGTTACCTAGAAATGAGAATTGCTTAAATATGATGTAAGATGATGGTGCCTAAAGGATCTTTCTCCTATAGTGAAAGTAAACTGTATTGTTTCTGTCTAAATATCAATCATGTTTTAAAGATTCTCGAAATGTAATTGCACTTAAAGTTTGGATTTCACCTCAAGGGATTTGTACGGTTAGTTAATATGTACTTCAATGGGCTGTGGCTTAAGAGTCTTAATAGAGTGGTTTGGGGCTTTACTATATATGCTTGCCAGCATTTTCATGAGGACTCAAAATTGGGCATCCATGCAGTCACTGATTTTACAAAGCTCCAGTTACAGGTCAGTAATTTCCCTCTCTGTCTGCCCGGCAACCTCGCTAAGTCTTTCAATATTTCCTTCAACTTATTTATATGTATCACGTTAAACGATGAAAACTGGGAGTGGACTGATTTTACTGATGCTGGGGATGAGAAGTGGGTTGGGTTTTCTGTACTTCATTAGCTCCCGTGCTGACTCTAGCTGTAGTTTGAACCTGTGCATTTTCTTTTCTTTTCAATTTAAATTTCTTTTAATGTATATGAAACTTTAACAGGGAAGTGATCTGATAGAACTTCACACAGTCCTCTGAAGATTAACTGAAGGATAGTAATTGTAATATGAATTTGCTTTAGTGGTTATCTTGATTATTTCTCAGAAGAAAATCTATTTTCTAAAAAAAAAAAAATAGTAAAAACCCAAACCAGTTCACATCCTTCCGCAGAGTACAGCATGGATACCTTGGGGAGTGGTTTTGCTTCATAACATTACTAACTATTCATATCTAAAGTGTATGATGCTTTTATTATAACCAGAATTGCTGGAGGAAACAGAAAAGCTAATGAAAGAAAAAATTGAGGTACAGCGTCAAGCTGAAAAAGAGTACGATGACCTCCAGAAGCAAGTGAAAGTCTTGGAAATAGACTTGGAAGAACAGGTCAATCGTCTCATAGAGCTAGAGCAAGAAAAAAATGCAGAACTAATGGACTTAAGGCAGCAAAACCAGGCTTTGGAGAAGCAACTGGAGAAAACAAGAAAATTTCTAGATGTAAGTATGGTAAAAGGCTAGTTTCATGAAGGGTGGGCACCTGTACTGAAGTTTGGTACAGCAGAAAATGCTCGGTTTTTCAGATTTTGAGCAAACATAAAGAAGCACACAATAATAACAGTGTTATAGGTTCCAGCCCAATAATTTAATTAATGTTTTAAAAGTTGAAAATTCATTTGAGATGCTTGCTTAGGACTGCCCTGTATTTCTAAATATAACTTAGTAAGCTTCTTAAATGTTTAAAATAATGGGAAACTTCTAAAATTAATGTGGAAATTTTTTGTGACCTTCATTTTTAACAGTTTGTGGAATTTCCATGTTTTTCAATAAAGTCTGTTGGACCTAATTTGTACTTGGAAATTGGAAGCATAATTTCTTTAAGTTTCTTTTATAGACTTCCTTCATAGTATCCAATAATCTACCTCCAGATGTTAAGCTACAACTTCCAGCCAGTTATATTACATGCGTGTTCACAGTGGCAACTGCCTCTACTGTACCCAACTTCTTCCTACCTCAGGCTGTCTCTGCAATTTTGTTTTAGACTCTATCCCATTTTCAGCAAACACCATCTTCCCTGCCTCCTCCTTTCCCCATTTTATTCCTATTAAGTGTCCTATGGTGCTGTTCGGAGAAAACTATTATTTTTGTGCCTTCTCAGTTAAATCTCTAGCTGACAGCAGTAGGGTGGAATAATTTTTTACATAATAGATATAACACCCTGTGGCACTTTCTCTGCATAATCTATTACTAAGCAGTATTAAAGGAGAGATCTTTCCAGTTACTTCTTAGCACAAATGGATTTGCTTTATCTCATTTTCTACAGTTACAAAATTATTTTTCTCACTGCAACTAGTATGTCATAATAGGACAAGGTTCAGAAGTAAAAATTCCTATTACAAGTCCCATAGTCATAAGTGCATTATGGTTTGGGATTATCAATAGCATGAACTGGAGAGTTATGGACTACTGAGATGAGTAGCTGTTTGTAATGGCAGCATTAGAATTCTGCTGTTTCCTTGAAACAGTGGGTGAGTTTTTAAAATCTGCAATTTGTGAAGGTTGAGGTTTTATTCCAGTTTCCTGAATTTCTGCAAAATATTGTGTTGCTAGATAGAAGCATTCCTCTTTTTGTATCAGTTAATTCAGCTAGTTTATTTTAATGCATCTGATAAGGTTTGTCTGTTTTACAAAGTGGTATTTAAAGGTGATGCTTCACTGGATGCTACCAGTTGTGCGTTACTTCCTATATAAAGATGTATTTCCCAAATGTCAGACTGGGATATAACAACTGAAACAGTCAAAAGTAAAACTGAAATGCAAAATTCAAACAGTTTATAATTTTTTTGTTGTTGGCTCCTCATCAATATTAACATAGAGTTAATTTCTATTCTTAATTTCTATTTATGCTACATATATCAAAGACAAATATTAGGAAAGAAAATCATAAAATATTGGCTTATTACCATTTGTGTGGTGTACCTGGAACAGAAGAAACAAAACTGTCATTTTTGTGAAGTAATACTGGATATACCTATGTTGTCCTAATTTTTTAATAAAAAAATGTGAAATTTGTTGACCTAAATCATGAAAGAAGCTTTTTAATGGTACTTGCAAGAGGTTCTGCTACCTTAAAACTACTGACATACTGTTACCAGCCTCATGTTAACAGAAGTAAGAAGTAGTAATATACTTAATTTAGGTAGTTTTTAAATCAAATGGTGTATCCACATAATTTCCTAACTTTCAGGAGCAAGCAATTGACCGAGAGCACGAAAGAGACGTATTCCAGCAAGAGATACAGAAGCTGGAACAACAGCTTAAGATTCCACAAAGGAGTCAGCCTGTCAATGAACATCAAACCAGAGAGGTAACACATTTTATTACTTGTACTTAATGAATATAAATGACAAGTTGACAGCTGTTAAGATATTGTAATGAAGCTATTTTATGGTGTACCTAACTGCATCCATTTACAAGCCAGGAAAGTAAGTTCCCTTAGATGAAGGGTAGGGTGTTGAGGGAAAGTGGTGAAACTGTGTTTTGGGTTTTTCTAGGCCGGTTGGTTGTTTGTTTTAAGTAGTAGATATAGGGAGACTTCATAACTTTCAAAAAGGCTCTTTCATAGAATTAATTTAGAAAATCCACTGTTTTCAAAAGCCTGTGGAAACATTCAGGACTACTTTAGCAATTTCACATGTTCTTATGTTGTTTTGTGACATCCTGTTTATAGCACAGGTACAGAACTGATGGAATAGAGTTTCCAAGGTTTAGCACCTGAAACGTAGCAGCGCTCTCTGGGTACACTTGAACCTCCCCAGTGAAAGTCTGTCTCCATTGAAAGAAATTTAGTGACTGTAGAACAGCAGCTCAAGGGAGCCATAGAAAACTCTTAGACCCAGCAAAATCAAGAGGAGTGCAGTGTAGCATGCAAATGCCATATATTATGAAGCTTTTGCATGTTTTGTTTGATGATCTGTTAGTCAATTAAATTGCATTTTATTTTTTGTGGGTTTTCTTGTGTCCTGCTTTTTGAGCAAGGCCAATATTTTTGCATGATTTTCTTGCCTGATTTTCAATATTAAAATGCCTCTTATTAGGTTGCACTGCGATTTTCAAATCAAAGTTCTTACTGAGGTAGTTCAGTTGCTGCAATTCAATTTTTAAAATATTAGCAATATTTAGTATTCTGTATTATATAGTTTAGGACCATAGACAGTAATAGGACATAGATTGATATATGTGAGATGTAAGTTGTCAAAATATTTATTTACTTATAATTCTCAGGCTTAGAGATGTATTTCGGGAGGGCTATATATTTTAATACAAAGGTTTGTAAGAAATCTTACAGTCAAAGTATTCGGCCAGTACTATGTGATATGGCTGTCATCAGCCTCTGTGAACAATGAATCTTCTGGAATTAGCTCGATATGTGTTAACCAACACATATGGAGCAATTCTGCATCTATTTCCTTCTATTGCAAAGTGTGCATGCACTCCTCTCCTGTTGACACGTTTCACAGATGCGGGAGACTTTTTAGCACGTTTAGTTTTCCTGAATCCAGGATGTTCTTTCTAAGTCCATTTCGTTATGTGTCTGTTTGTAATTTGGGGCATGGGCAGCGTGTGAATTCCTGGTTAAAATTCTCACATTTAAAAAAAAACAAAAAACAAACAAACAAAAAACCTCCAAAGAAAAAAAATTTCAAATTTGGTAGCATAATAAAAATTGCCCTATTTTTCTGTACAGAACCTATATATAAAAATTGTCCTGATTTATATGCACATGTACACATATGCATATACTCTTAAGTTGGCAAATATGCTACAATGGAAATTTAAAGCATGCTTTAAAATGAAAGACAGCTGTAACTGTGATTAAAATTTTGAGATTTGTATTAGATGCTTCTAAATTAGAATTTTTTAGTAAGTAGAAAGATAGACAATAAGATAATGTCTGCAAGCACCACAGGTGTAGTGGCTATCTTAGAGCTGGATGGTGTTGGATGTGATACATTACAAATTATAGACAGAATTTTCAATAGTGTATTAGATTTACATTTAATTTTTATAAAATGAGGCTCATAGTCTTACTATATAGTATATTTTGATGTCACAATGTTACTTGGAATATTTCATAAATATACATTTTATAATTATTTCTCATGCTTTTCTGAGATAGCTGCTTTATTTTTTTATAGTTGTACGGTTTTTTAAATGCTCTTCTGCTTTGTGTGAATGCTATGAGCGTTTTCTGTTGCTAACTTCATTTCTTTTTTAGTGTTGTTTCAGCTTACTCTGTCAGCTTATTCCAGGGATGGTTGTCATAAAGAGTCTGCTCTAGACTTGATTTTTCTTTTTCCATTTCTCTCTCAGGACTTTTCTGTGGTCACTTCAGACTTTGATGTTACTCATGGATGGATAACGTCAGTAATACCATCCTGTCAGCTTTATGTTCTGGTCCTCTTCTCTCCTATCTATTGAAATGCTTTGAGTCTTCTACCTTTTGGCTACATCGTAACTTCTTAATTGTAAATACTGAAATCAGTTTCTTGAGTGGGACAAACATTACTTTCCATGCCTCTTGCTCGATAACTCAGGTCTTAACTCTGTGCGTCAGGCCTAATACCATGGATTTGTTACACATCTTTCTTATCTGTAATTTTGATTAATCATTTCTGAAATACTGCTTGACCTGGTATCATTCCTATCTCTACTACTTCAGTTACTCTTTTAATATGTTGTTTCTGAGCCGCAAACATCTGAACTACTGAGATTCAGAATGCTTTATTTGGATGCTTTGTCCCCTATAGAAGGTGAAATTATATCATCCATCACATCTGTTTGGTCCCATTTAACAAACCCAGCAAGAAAACAAAACTTCCTGTTTCTCGAGATCGAAGTATAACAATTCTCTTCAATGTTAAAGGCCCAGTGAGTTTTAGGATATGTCTGTATGTCACTAATCAACTCCTTATTTTGAATAATGTTGTCAGAGATTTTTAGAACTATGATATTCCTCAAAGATGCAAATAGCATCTTGACCTTAGTGTCAAGACATTCCATCTGTAGATGTTGAAGGTATCTTTTTTAGCAGGCTGCATAGGGATGCCATGCTGCTTGCTTTTAACTGACTAGAGAGTCTGAAGGCTTCAGAAGGACAAGGTCAGTTCTAGAGAGTAGGTGATATAGCACAGAACATATGACTTCTTAAAAAAAATGCTGTTTGTATTTGTTGGATGTAGCACTACAGTATCCTAACTTCACATTCTGTTTCACCTAAAGAGTAGGATTTTCGTTACGAGAAGAAAAGAGGGACATTTTTTCTCTGTCAAAAATGAGTGCTGTTGCTATTGCTAGCAAACCCTTCCAATCTAGTACAATATATTCATCATCTTGCCATATTGTCACCAGGTTGAACAGTTAACAAATCATCTAAAAGAAAAAACAGACAAATGCAGTGAGCTTTTGCTCTCTAAGGAGCAACTTCAGAGAGATATACAAGAACGAAATGAAGAAATTGAGAAACTAGAATGCAGGATAAGAGAACTGGAACAAGCCTTAATCATCAGTGCAGACAACTTGCAAAAGGTATTGCTTGGTCTAAAATTATCATGTGTTTACTATTTTCTTATTTTCTTGAGAACACAACAGTATGTCTTTTTTATTTGCTTATTATTAATATTATTTATATTTAAAGGTGGAGGAAAGGAAACAGTTTGGCACCATCATAGTAAAAGGAGAATTACCTCTTGAAGTACAACTGCAAGCTGAACGAGAAGCTGTGGACAGAAAGGAAAAGGAGGTAAATTACCTGTGAGATATTCCATGTTTCCGCTGATATTTTGGTTTGTCAGTTTTTGCTTTCTGTTGAGTTTAGTGAACTATACAGATGATACTTTTTAACAGATCAGAGAGACAGTCCAAGTCCCTTTGAAATTCTCTTGTGAGCCATGATAATTGTTGTTATTGTCTATGTTAATGCTTACGACTTACAAGAGTGTTTCTGGAATCAAAATTCAGCCCAATTAAGAAAAACTTCATAGTGATTTTAGCTGATTTGTAGTGGGTTTTAAAATTCCATTCAGCTTAAGGACTTAGAATGTCACTGAGTACACATTCTTTTGTTTGTGCATACCAAAATCTGCACTTGCAAATTATGACATTTAATTTTTGGTATGGCTGTCTACTCCTTTTCCACCATTTGTTTTGGAAACATAGGTCACGAACCTTGAGGAACAACTGGAGCAGTTTCGAGAGGAGCTAGAAAATAAAAATGAAGAAGTTCAGCAATTGCACATGCAACTAGAAATTCAGCGAAAGGAGTCCACTACACACTTGCAAGAACTTGAACAAGAAAACAAATTATTTAAGGTAATTGTGTAACAGAGAAGCCTAGAGCTTTATTCTCCCTCCTCCCCAGAAATAAATTCTTGGAAAAAGCCAAGATGCCAAATTCTTTCTCATTCTCAAGCATTCCACGGTTCAACTTGCAAAATACTAAAAAGCTCATATAATTACTTCTCACTCCATGCAATTTGTTTATTTTAATTCCTATGCCTTAAATACTCATACAAGCATATGCAGAAAACGTTATGTACAACTGTAAACATGGTTTTGGGGGTTTTTTTTTTGGTAGGATGAAATGGAAATACTGGGACTAGCTATCCAGAAATCTGAAGATGCCACCATAAAGGACCATCATTTAGTGGCTGGGAGGCTCACTCACATCATGCAAGAAAAAGAGCAGGAAATAGATCATCTTCATGAACAAATTGCAAAACTGCAACAGCAACTTGAAGTCACAACTGACAACAAAGTACATACTTTTGAAATCTTTTTCAGAGTCCTACTTTGTGTTGCTAGCTGTTTAAAGAAAAAAACACCTCTGTCCCCCCACCAATTACATTATCTTCTATTGCTGCCTTAATTTAAAAATCCAAATGCTTCAGTTTCAAGCAACGCTTTAGCCCTAGTCTTTTTTTCCTCTTTTGTCTTCGTTTTTATGAAGGATACTTTTTGCTTGCTTTTCTTTTTATTGTTCTGCCTTATTTCTGTTGAGTTTTTTCTTAAATTCTTCTTCATTCCTTATTCTTCTTATACTTCTGAACATCTAATGGCGTGTAGGTAGCTGAATTCAATCTCAACATTCATTCTACCATCTTCCCTGCAACGATTTACTTTCAGTGTTATGTTTCAGTGACACCTGCTGGATCATGTTGGATTTTATAAGTTTTTTAGCAGTTGAACTTTTGTGGTCCATGAGCTTGTGTAAATACTTTGTCATCATATCAATGCTGGCAACATGTTTAATCCAGTTTGAAGCATGGTGGATGTGCAAACAGAATGCTGTGTTTTATTAGAAATGGAAAGCAAGCAAGAAAGAAGCAGATTCATCTTTCTTTTATTTACTGAGATTTAACACCTGTAGCTTTCTGTTATTTTTCAATTATGTGTTTCTATAATAATGAGCTTCATCATCTTCTGGCTTCCATTTTAAACATATAATGCATTTGATTTCAACTGAAATACTACTTATTTTGCATTGATGTAAGTGACAGCAGAAATAGGCCTTCAGTCTCACATTTTTTATAGAAAGAAAATTGGATTTTTTCAGTGGATGAATTTTGCATTCTGACCATTTTAAATGTAAAAATTTATTAGTCATAAGCTTTAACCCCAAAGCAAGTATTATTCAGTAAGGTAAGAACAAAAGTTCTGTTACCCCTCATAGCTGATTGAACATTTACGGTAACATTCTACTAGCACATGTTGAATCCAAGCTGGATAATTTCACTGAGTTTTTATGCGCGAAATTTAATTATAATGAACCTCAGTGAATAATGACAAAACTTTGAATTGGATTTAGGAAATTGGATTTAGGAAAGATCATACTTTAGGAATCCAGAATGGTTCTGCTTTGGTTACATTTCTTGCCTTGAGAAAAATACCCAGGATTCAGATATAATTCATTTTAATGATTAGTTCTTCTCTTGTTATATGAAGTTTCATTTTCTTAATTTCATCCTCTTACTTAGTTATGTTTTCCAGGACATTAAATAATTACTCTGCTTGATTATGAGATCAATATTAAATATGAATAGATTGTTCTTAGGTTAATCTCTTTCCGAGTCCCTTAGACATCTTCATCCCACTAAGTGCTTTTCTTTTAATTGCTGTATTTGCCTTCTGTGGTGCTTTATTCCATTATGTTACGAAGAACAGAAACTGTTATGCTGACTTGATAGCAATCACCACGATCACTGTTCTTTTTTTCTGAAACCAATGACTTGTTCACATTTTATTTAGTGTTTTTGAGCTTCCTCTAGTCTCTGTGGATTTTTAAAAATAAGTTCTTAGTTGGCAAGTCAGCCCCTCTAATTGATATGGTCATTTATCATTTATTTTTGTACGTATTATACTTATTACAAAGTTGTCTTATTATTCTATTTAACTAACTAAACCTAATGAAGTATTGAGAGATAAAGGAAAAAGCATGGCTATTTTAGCAGTGAATTTAGTCATCTTTCTTTTCTTCTGCATTTTTTTTCTTCTTCATATTTCTAAAAGGCCCTTTTAGAGTTCTTACCTATTTTAGGTACCATAACTGATTTTATTTTATAATATCTATTTCCGAATATTCTTGACAGATTTCCTTCTGCCTTTTTCATTTCCAGTGTAGAAGCACTGTTCATTTCAGACTCACTCCAGACATTCCCTTAAGAAAATATATCCACAGTTTCTTAGACTTACTACTTATAATCTGGTCTGTCTTTATTTTGTCTTTGTAAAGGATTTTTTGTCATTCTTCTACACTCAAATGAGAAATTGCTCCCACTGCAATTTAACAAGCAGGTTTTTTAATGAATTTTATAAAACTTAGTCTATTGGAATCTGATATCTTGTCTTATTATTCCTTTCGCTAAGACTTTTTTATTTATTAAATTTAGTGTTCATCAACACCAGTCATTCAATTTTTTGAGTCTACTAATTTATTTCTTGTTAGAAGCTGATATAAAATGTCTTCTCTTTTCTGCATCATAAAGTCATCAACCTCATATTTGCTCAGTTACATTATTTTATGAATTTCTTGGAATTTTGAGCCCCTTACACAGCCTGTAAACTAATCTAGGAAAGTATTATTCTCACTCTCTTCATGTCTTCACCAATCTTCCTTTGAATTTTGTTTGGATAGTCGTATACATTTTCAAATAAATACTTCTATAACTTTGTCTCTCTTTACTTTCATTTAAATTATAGCACAAAGAAATAATTGTGGTCTGGGTCTGTGGGTACTTTTTGCCCTGCATGATTTTGTGCACATCTGCATATGTGTATGCCCACACACATTAACAGACAAACACGTATTTAGGTTTGTGATAGGAAATGTCAGAGTCAACTGATAGGTGTTTTCTGTGGTCTCAGACTAAAAAGCATGTTATAATGGTATTTTTCAACACACTTAATTAAAGGTCTATTTGTATTTAAAATACATATCCATCTTAATTGGCTGTGTTCTATTTAAATCTATTTGACCATATGAATGAGTGGTGCTTTTGCATGAAGAGCACAGTATCTATCTAATCTAACTGAACATATCTGGCTTGTATATGGTAAGCTTGAGGATCTTTTTTTTTTTCCTGAAGGAAGTTCTTTATGTAATGTAATGCAGGAAAATTTATCTGTAAGTTTTAAGCTTCATAAATCTTGGTTCCTTGGAATTCTTTGAGTAAAAATAGTATATTGAATCTTGATTTCGTAAGAAGATTGAACAGCAGACATGACCGCTCCACTTGTTTCCATTTTAATTTTCAATAAAAAGGACAAGACAGAGCTTTAGACCAAACTATTGGGAAAAAAGTATTATGAACACTTAAACTTCAGTGTTTCATATCTCTGTGAATATTAAAAATGCTTTCACTTCATTAGATGCTTTCACACCTATTTTGCAGTTCATTAAGGTCACAGGCTACTTTGTCAGTCCGATGTGAAGATGTCCTGTTTCTCATAAAGCTTTACAAGAGACATCCCATTAAGAAATTCACTGAGGACTTTCTTTTACAAGATGTTTCAATGTTTGATTTAACTGTTGCTGTGAAGTCCCGGAGAAAAATTATCTGAGGGTTTAATACTTACCCATTTTGAAGTTCTTTTGGGGTTTTTTTTCCAGGTTATTGAAGAGCAAAATGAGCATATACGGGAGCTTGAAGCCCAGGTAGAATGTCTGAAAAGTGATCAAGAACGTGTGAAGAAAAAAAATGATGAGGAAGTAGAGCAGTTGAATGATGTAGCAGGAACTGGCAAATATTGAACAAAAAGTACCTGCAGACATTGCTGCTTTTCAAGAAGATGCTGACAGTCTGAAACACACACTTGAAACAGTTCTGGCAGAAAAGGAAGCTTTGGAGAAGCAAGTAGAAAACGTAAATGTAGAGGCATCTCAAACAAAGAATGAGCTTGAGGAAACTAAGTTTAAAATGAACCAGCTAAAGCAAGAAATAAGTATGTTAAAAAAAGAGCATGAAAGAATAACAGAGAAATATAAGTGTGCATTGATGAAAGGTGATAGGGAAAAAACAGAAGATAGGAGCAATGGGGAAACTGGAAAAGTGGAAGAAGGCTTATGTGAGAAGATAGAGTTGCTAGATCAATCCCAGCTTAGGTCTTCAGATGAGAATACAAGAGTCACCATTAGCAAGATGGAGATACAACTGCAGCAACTTCAGGTATGCATTAAGGAAAAAGATTCAGAACTGTTCCAGTCCTACAATGAAATAAAAGACCTGAAAGAGCAAGGCAAAGCTGAAAGAGAAACACTTAAAAAGAGGATATTAGAACTAGAAAAGACACTGGTGGAAAAAGTTGCTGCTGCTCTTGTGAGTCAGGTTCAGCTAAATGCAGTTCAAGAGCAAAGGAAATTCATGCAGGAAATTCAGGAAGGTTCAAAATGTGTGGAGGAAGCAAGCAAGAATGCCCAAACAGAGGGTTTGAGTGATAGAACTGAAAATGAGACGGAATCAAAATTATCACTCTTAACACAGAGGCTTAGTGAGATGGAGGACCAACTGGCAACAGTAAATCGTAACTTGGAACTAGAAAAAGAAAATGTAGAAGTTGCACAAAAGGAAGCTAAAGTGAAAGAAGAGAGACTCTTAGAACTTCAGCAATTACTAGAAGAGGTTCAAGAAAAAAACAAAGGAGAGATTCAGAAATATGTTAAGCAAGAAGAAATGCAGACATATGAGGTAATTAAATGCCATTTTCTTTTGGCTTGTTTTCACTAAAATCTGTTATTTTATGTAAACTGTAATGAATGAAACACATCTTAATGAGACTGGTGATAGGAATATTCTGCTGTGTGGGGTAGACCTTCATTTCTCTATTATTCCTGGAGTTACAAAGAAGAGAAGGATGTTATTTTAGGTGAACCCCACTATCAGTTTCCATTTTGCATTAAAAACACTTTGACTTTTCATGAATGTAGGGGTGATTTTGAATTTTGGACATATACTTTCTTATTCTTTGAATTGACATAGAATGGAGTGAATTGCACTTTTACATGGCATGGAGGTAGAGAGGTGAAAATTAAAATGATAAAAATTATCTAAGAGAGGATTCAGAATGATAAGGGAATGATAGCAATTTGTCTGTACAGGGTTTTTTTTGCGGGGAGGGGCAGGGGGGCAGGGGGAAGTTGTTTGTTTATGTATGCTTTGATTTTGGTTTACTTTTTCTTGCTTTCCTGTCTTGATTTCAAAGATATTTCCCATCAGTAGTTTTTATCAGTATACATTTTTCCTGATTTCCATCCACCACTGGTTATGTTGCCTCTGAATTTAAAACCTTCAGTCAAAGTTGACTATGCTTGATAGCCCAAACATGGGCTTGATTGCTGAAACTCTTAAATTCAGAGACGTCGTGGAACCCAGTGCTGGACCATGAGAGGTTCTAAGACCTTTTGTTCAAATGCAGATTGAATGAATGTCATAAATATCTTATAAATTTAATAATATTATCAGACTTCATTTTCTACTCTCTCTTGACCTTCCTCCCTGTGCTTTCTACATGGTGTAGCCAATTTCTGCTTGCAGTTCGGTAAACTGGAAGAAGACAGGCTTTCCTCCCACGCTTATCCAGTTTGTGGGAGTTAATCTAGGAAAATGGTCTTTCAGTCTTAATTTTTTGAGGCTATATTAATCCAATAACATACATTTGTTTTCCCCTATGGTCTTTTCATTTGTGGCTTTTGTAAGTTGGTGTGAAAGTGATCAGTGCTGTTAATACTTGACTCTTCGTAAGATTCTTTATCTTTATCAACGATCTGGATGAG